TGCGGCCCTCGGTGGGCAGCGGGAGGTGCGGGGCAGAGAACGCTTCCGACGCTGTGAAAGCGAGTTCCCCGGGCAGAAGTCTGGTCTGTGGTGTCCTTCGTCGGGGCTGTTCGGCTTTTACGCTGCGTGCCTGAAACCACGGGGCGCGACAAATTCATCGTGTCCCTCCAGCGCAGGCCAAAGCTCTTGGGGGGGGTGGAAAGCGTGCGATAGCGATGGGGGGTGATTCTCTGCGTCGAGGATATTCCATGCTCGGGGTTATTCTCTTCTGCGGGTGAATAACCTTTTTGCCGGGGGGCCTGTCTCTTCCAAGATGTTTTTGATTTGGACTGGGGAGGTGGATGCTTGGCGAGGCTTGAAATGAGACACTTGACGTGTTTTTTCCTTCTTGCGAACACACGCTTCTATGTGCAGTTTTCGGAACGACTCTAGAAACTCTAAGAGCCAAATTAAATATATGACGAGAACTGAAAACCACCTTGGCTTATTCCGCTGAAAAGCGTGCTTTTCAAAGAAATTGTTTATCATTAAAAAAAAAATTAACGCTTTTGTCAATATTCTAATCTTTAAACTCCTTTGGAACGACATAATTAGTTTAAGTTTTCTAAGCTGTCCGATATATTGGCATTGCTCCAGTGTAATTTCTCTTTTTCCCTGAAAAATCGAACTCTGAAATGTTAGATGACACAATTTTTGCCGAAGCCCATAGGTGACACATTCTCTGGAGCCAGCAATGTTACTCCGTCACTTGCTGTCTAAACTGTGATCTTGCTCCTGAATCAGTGTTGTTCAGCTGTAGGGACGCTTCTCTTGTTTTAACAGTTATTCTGCCCAGGCAACGGGAATGCAGTTAAATATGCGTATGAGGAGACTTGTGGTCTTGGATCTTAACAAGAACATAACTTTTTAGCACCATTTCACAGGATTCATGATACTGTAAAACCCCAAGAAATTAAAAGCTCTGCTAACCTGCAGTTTTCATTTTTTGTTAATAGCTGAATTTTTAAAACGGTGCACATAATAATTTCTTTTGAATTACTCTAAGGTTTGAGTTACAGTTAACTCCAGAAAGTTAATTGAACTATTTCTGAGCTTAAAAATGCTGTTGTAGAATAAAGTATGGCTTTGTGCGCACGTGGGACGTTGGCAGGGGAAAGGAAGGCTGTGTTTTGTAGGCCTACCCTGTGTGCCTTACCCGGATGAGTACTGAGCGATTCTGCCACGTAAGCACCAAAAATATTCTTTTAATAGTATGTTGGCAGGATGTCTTTTGATTGCCTCTCCGGTTTGTAATGTCAGGAGATAGACCGCAAGCATTAAAAGAGACTGCAAAAGCAGAGTTCAGCCCAACTCTTCAGGAACCAGGTTTAAATATCGAGCTCCCGTATTAAACAATGTCCCAAAATGCTTTTTGTTGTCCTGGAAGATACCTGTGGCCTCTCAGTAAGGAGCAGGGATGAAAGTGTAGCACCACGTTACAGGTTTCTTCCGAGGCGTGTGCAAGCTGGCTCTTGAGTGTTCCCTCGAGGTTTGGCATTTGGGTGGTGTACAAATTGCTTTGCGTAAATATGTTTCCAGCCACTGTGTGTGTGTGTGTTGCAGTAAGGCTGTGGCCTCTTTTGTTATGCTTTTGGTTGGTTGACCTTGTAAAACGCATCCTGTGCCGCTTTTGTTTTTCTGTTTGCTGAAGGCAGGAGCAAGTCATCACGATGCCAGCATTGCCGCTGGATGAACTCCAGCTGACAGAGAGGGATCCCAAGACAGGGAAGCTGAGAACTTTACCGGCACTGGTGAGCTGTGTTTTTCTTGAAAGCCAAGCGAGACCTGTAACAAATAATTGTCATATGTTTGGGCCTGGGCAAAACTAGCCCTTGGTCCAGGATCTTACGAAATTTGGTCAGCCTCCACATTAAAGAAATTGTTTTCTTCGTGTTTTAGTGCGTTCAGATAGTTGAGAATTTTATTTCAGTGGTGGGTAAATGAAAACTTACTGTGCTCAACACCTATAGTAAACTGTGTTCTCCCAGAACTCCTTATTCTTTTGAGGAACAGCCCGATTAGCAATGTAAACTTTTCTGCAATAGAGAGAATGCTTTGGGAGCTTTTGCAAACTCTGCGTGAAGTTTAGCTCTGAGCTGTAGCACAGGGATAAGTCCGTCCACTTAACTGCATCCCGTGACCTCCCGCCATGTGGCTTCAGCTTGGTGAAATCAGAAAATTAAATCCACAGTTGCCCTTTTCTCCCAGAAATAAGAAGGTGTGGAGAGAGCCGCCTGGGCATGTTGCAGAAGGGGGCCCTGCCATTAATGCTGCTTGCTTGTGAGGAGGGTCACCCTGCACATATGTGCTGGTTTTGGCTGGGATAGGGTTAATTCCCTTCCCAGTAGCTGGTACGGGGCTGTGGTTTGGATTTGTGCTGGAAACAGTGCCGATAACACAGGGATGTTGTCGTTACTGCTGAGCAGTGCTGACACACAGTCAAGGCCTTTCCTGCTCCTCACCCCACCCCACCAGCGAACAGGCTGGGGGTGCACAAGAAGCTGGGAGGGGACCCAGCCGGGACAGCTGACCCCAACTGACCCAAGGAAGCTGGGGGAAGAAGAAGGAAGGGGGGGACGTTTGGAGTGATGGCATTTGTCTTCCCAAGTAACTGTTACGTGTGATGGAGCCCTGCTTTCCTGGAGATGGCTGAACACCTGCCTGCCCATGGGAAGGAGTGAAGGAATTCCTTGGTTTGCTTTGCTTGCGTGCAGGGCTTTTGCTTTCCCTATTAAACTGTCTTTATCTCAACCCACGAGTTTTCTCACTTTTGCCCTTCCGATTCTTTCCCCCACCCCACTCTGGGGGAGCGAGTGAGCGGCTGGGTGGGGCTTAGTTGCCGGCTGGGGTTAAACCACGACGGCATAGGTGTGGATAGGTGTGGGTCTCGAAGCTGCTGCTCGCTACTCAACGTTACTCAACTTGATTCTCATTCTAGGATGGGCAAAGTCTGTTCCGTAACCCTTGGGAAGGGTAGTGAAATGTTTCTTCTCTGTATTTCGTGGTCATGTCAGTTTGACTTCATGGAATGTTGTAGAAGAACCAGTTCAGAGGAAAAAGAGAGAGTAAGAGAGTATAGGCCACATTTCAAAGGCATGACATTAAGCTGTTGCTGTTTGTTGTGAAGGTGTGGGAGGATTGCTTTGCAAGGCTTTTGGTTAATAGAATGCAAGGAGCAACATCTACCAAATTGTGAAGGTCTGAAAATATTGCTGATAAATAAGGATACGAACCCACTGATCTGCTGCCTTGAAAGATTAGAAAACGAGAAGTTACCAGGGAACTGAATGTCAAACTGTACTAAAGTGGAATTTTGTGTTGGTTTCCTAAAATTCAGTGAGCAGTGCAAACGGCAACTGGGCGTTCCTGTCACTCGGTTTGTGTTTTTAATACAGTGTTTTGGCTTTCTGCAGCGCCCAGAAATAAAAGCAGATCGGTCTTTTGTGCTATACAGACCGCCACCTGTTGTCAGAGACCCTGCTTTAGTGGAAGAGTTCTTGGAGCGCGCAAAATTCATTGCGGATGACCTGAACTGGCTTCTGGCTTTGCCTCATGACAAATTTTGGTGCCAGGTAATAATTGTTTTGTGGACACTGGAGAAAAAGCATGAACAGTCTGAACGCTTGTAAAAGCCATGAACTTTAAATCATTTTCGTAAAGACTTGTATATGTTCATTATGTTATTTGTCAAGCATTTTAATTACTGCACCTTAGAGTGCAAAGAAAGTAGTATTTCCCTATAGATTTTTCATTGTGGATTTTAAGAGTTTGCTTGTATTTGATGCATACGTGAATCCTTTTAGCACTCTTGAATGTTTTAGTTTGCTTTTAAATCCAGCTGGGCTGCCCATGAGTGCAACCTATGAATGTGTGGCATTCCCTTCTTTCCATTTTCTTGTCTCTCGTTGCGCAAGGTAATATTTGATGAGACGCTTCAGAAATGTCTGGATTCCTACCTGTGCTATGCCCCTCGCAAGTTTGATGCCTTGTTGGATTGCCATCCAGAGGTGAATGACATGCAGAAATGTCTTCATCGGAGTGTCTTCCTGACTTTCCTCAGAATGTCCACTCACAAGGAGTCCAAGGTAAATATTTCTTTGCCTTGCAGGTGCTCCAGGCTGTATAACTTGGGGAAAAAGACAATTAGGGGAATTAAATGTGTTTCTTGCTTGCATGTCCAACTGCGTGCCTCTCCCTGGCTATTTTTATCAGTCTGTTTCTCCATACGGAGATGATAACCACTCAGAGCTGAAGTATCTGAACTATGCAATGATTTCTTAGGAAGGAGATCCAGGCAATCAACTAAGTAATAGCAGGTTAGCCACGTGTGGGGGTATGATACATCGCTGTAAGAGGCGGGGGGGGAAGAGCAAGTTGGCCTTTGTACAGCTGCGTGGAACAGAGGCTCTTCAGGCCGACAGTAGCTGAGCGTTTGCTCCCTCAATGCCGCGTCCTCTGTGCCGTGCAGCGTCACGCAATCTGTGCTAATACTTGTCTCTCCCTGAACTTTCCCCAAGTTTTTGACACACGGTGGAATTGCTCTAAATTACTGTTTTCTTGGCCTCGTAATTGAAAGATGTGCTCAGCCCTAATTGTGTGAGTGCAGCTCCCATGAGCAGCTGTGGAATCTTCACAAGGCCTTCGGGCAGGATGAGTGAGGCACCTTGTGTTTTGGCAAGTACTGCCTAGATATCCTCGTTGGTTCATGATGTGTTATTTAGTGATGTACTCTTGATTCTCTTGATTATCGCAGTGGTGACGTTCAGGAGATTTTGAGGAAAGTTCTTGGAGCAGGAGTTGGAGGACTGGGGTGGGAACAGGTAGAAGGAATGCTGGAGCCCGCAGCGGGCACCACTTCAGCAAAAGTACTCGACACCTCTATGGTGTCTTTCATTCCAGGATCTGATTAAATCTTACCGCTCCAATGAGGCAGGCGAGCATTTTATAGTTGAGTAATTTGAAGAGAATGAAGGGTCTGTTGTCATGCAGGCAGTCAGCAGGAGTTCTAGAAATTGAACCTAGCCAGCGTAAAGCCCTGTCCCTCTGCTTTAGCAGGGAAAATGTGCGTACTACCTTTCACTGTGATTGAAAACACTTGCTATCACAGGCAAACTTGCCTTCTGAAAATCCAAAATCACGTTTTAGCTTGCTTGTTTCTCAGTGTCAGAGACGATGGCATTTTTGTCATCTAGAATTTTAGAAAAAGTTCCTTCAGTGTTACGAGTCACGTGTTTTTGACGCAGTGTCCTAGCAGTCAGGGTATAGAGCTGCAGTTCCTGGGTTTTCTTCCTACTTGTCACTGATGCAGTTGTCTTTGGTGCCTCGATTCTACTCTTCTAGGGTACGGATGACCTCAGGCTGTGATCTCGCATGTATTTTTTTCAGTGTCAGTGCCAGTTAAGCTGTTCCTATGCCTGGTTACTCGTTGCTACTCCTGAGCTGAGCCGTTCTTGTGTCAGCTCAGCTGTTTATTTGGCTATGCCGTGAGCCAGGTCTGGGAACTGAACGAACTGTAGGTAGCTTTTTGTTTTAACTTTTAGGTTGATCGGTTCATTTCGTGGTGCGGCCTGGCCCTGCGAGTGGTGCGGGGCCAGTGGGGTGGATGGTGTAGTGGCAGTGACAAGCAGCTGGGAACGTGGGGCTGGAGGGCTCTGCAGAAGCTGGTGTAAGCAGAGTTGCTGCCTTCTATGAAACAAAATCCTTAATACACCTCTGAGAGATGTTTTTACAGGTGTCGTTATAATGCTGCAGTTCTTGCAGAGTAAGATATGGATTATCCTTTAAATTACCTTTTGTTTTTTCTTTGTAGGATCACTTTATCACTCCCTCTGTCTTCGGAAAAATTATTTACAATAACTTCCTGTTCGACATCCCTAAGATTCTGGATCTCTGTGTGCTTTTTGGGAGAGGAAATGGTCTCCTGCTCCAGAAGATGATTGGTGAGTTAAAGCCAAGGAACAACTTGTTGCACTTAGGCTTTTGCTTACTCATATGATGGCAAGCGACGAGTGGGGTTTTATACCAGTGTTACTGCTCTGAAAATGAATTGTTCAGTAGCAACTAGAATCTATAATTTCTAGATCAGATTACTTTTTTCTTTTTTCTTGTGAACTTCGTTTATGTCAAGGAAAGCATTGTGTCCTGCTGCTTAGCTGTCCTCAGCTGGGCTCGTGGCATTAGGCGTGAACCAAGGCTCAGTTATGCCTCAGCAGTTGTTTCCCATTTCAACTGAATGTGTCCTCAGCCACTGTAAGAGGACCATGAGGGCTCTCTAAAATCCTGGTAGAGATTGGAAGGGGCAAACAACTCAATTTCTGGGCAGGGAGGGAGGAGGGTTAGAAAATGGGGCACAGTCCAACTGCACACGTGAATGCTTTTGTTCCCAGAGTTGGAGCCAAGTGAAACGTGCACCATCAGGTAATCACTGGTCTATGAAGTGGGAGAACTTGAAATTTCAATGCAGACATTGATTTCTATAATGCCTTCAAACCACAAAGCACTTCAGAGCATTGCTCAAGCTGTGCTTATCCCTAGATTTCTCTGTATATGTACAGACAGTCTTAGTGGCAAGGGCATATTAAGTAACGTCTCAGCTTTGGACGCTAGAACCTGCGTAATGAAGACAGGGCATATTGGTTTAGCTTCTGAATTTATCCTGTGCTCTCTTCACAAGGGAGCCACTTGTGATCTTTAACACCTACCTGAGCACAGATGGAAGAGTACCTAGCCTCGGATTAAATGAGCTCTTCTTCCTAAATTCTAACCCACTTTGTCTGCAGTTCACGTAATGAAACTTTTTCCTTTCTTTGGTAGTTATTTTTGTCTCATTTCCAAGTTGACTAACATGGGAAGCGTTAGAGATCATGTGATGCAGCCAAATTTCCAGACCAGAAAAGCTTAGATAAACCTTTGCATTTTTTAATCCCTTTATCCTTTTTCAGTAACTTCCACTGTAAATTCATCAGTCAAGCCTCAGAGGTGGAAAGAAGGCATGACAAGATATAGTTCTCTTTCAGATGTGAACCTTAGATTATCTGGGTCTTAAAATATTCCGAAGGAGACCTAAGTGTATGAAACCTCATTTGAATTATACATATGCTCTGGAGTGCAACGCAATAATGCTGCGTGCAAGTGACCAATGACTTGCTCACCTGATTATTTGCATTATGTTGTGACAGTAATGGCACGAGCCGCTCTGGTGTGTAATTCATAACTTGATAAGCTTTAGGTTCTTCTCGGGGTATAATTTTTTCTGAGACCTGTCTCATAACTCTTACCTGTGCTCTGTCCTTGCTGGAGAAATCTGTTAATTTTCATCATCTGAACAGTAATTCACAGGAAAATAGGCAGCCTCTGTGCTTGCTTGGTGAGGAATTATGGTACGCCATTACTCAGTGGAGTATTTTGTAAAGATAATGAAGTCCTAGTAATATAATAGCAGGTATTACTAAAGGCTCATTACCTTTAAGAAATATTCTGCAGAACATTTTCCAGTGTATGCTGAACTGTTATCAGTAATTAAAAGTCAACTCCAGTTGTCAAACAAAGGAACTAGGAACGTTTAAGCGATAGTATTTGCATTATTCATTGATTCAGCCTCTGGGGCGTGAATCATCTTAACATCTCGTTTGCTCTGCTCTGATGAGCATAGTCTCATTACCAGTTCTCCAGTTGCACTGAAGAGTTGATGGGCCAGCTTCACAGGAGTAGGCCCCGTGCGTGAGTTGAGAAATGAGCCTGTGCCCATGTCCTAAATGATTATTAGCTGTATCTGGAGGGGGGGTGTGTGTCAGCAATAATACAAGTACATCTTCTGGTGCAAACTTGCTTGTTGGCATGAGTGTCTGAACTAATGGGAAATGGTCTCTTTTCCCCCCTCAGAAAATATCTTCACTCAGCAACCAAGTTACTTCAGTGACCTAGACGAAACTCTGCCCACTGTCCTCCAGGTACTGCCTTCCTGCTTGGCCCAGGGCCCGGGTTTCATCCGGACACGTGGCATAGCTTAGAGGGTGGAAGGGAGCAAATGTGGCCATAGGCAGGCAGAATGTAAGTGCTATTGCTTACTTTCTCTAGTTTATGCTAATGTGCATCAGGTAGGTTTTGAACCTTTACCTAAAACTATTACTTGATGACTATTTCCTACGGCCTGCCTTCAGCTTCTGGCCGCCTCTGCAGCTAATCTCAAGGAATTTTCATTAGGCAGTTCAAAAAGTATTCTTCGTGTCCCCCCCTCCCAAGCGGGGGAAGCATTGAAACTTAACAAAATGGAGACCGTGAGAGGTAGCTAAGACCTGACATAGTAGAATGGGTTTGCGTTAACACTGCAGGTTCTCAGGAGTAAATGAGAATCTGTTGGAAGGGATGCACCGTTGCCATACAAAAGGTATTTAGCACCTCTCCATGTCTAAGCTTCCATTTTTATAAGCAGCTTTTATATTCCCCAGACTGAGTAAGGAGGATTCACATTTAACCTGAGAAATCAAGGTGCCTTGACATCTTTGTACCCTGAAAATGTCATGTTTATGTCCTCAAAAGGCTCACCTATGTACAAAAATAAACAAACCCAAGATACCGTTTACCCCAAGACAGCTATAATGTCACTTGACTACTTGAAAGCCCACATTCTTCTTTTTTTCTGTGCGTTATGAAACTGTTAAAGGTAAATCTCAGAGGTGATACCATGTTTAAAAAAATATTCTAGGATGCAAGACCAGACGTTCAAATGAATTACTGGGGAGGACAGCGGAGATTCCATTTGCTTTTCGTGATGTGCCGTGTCAGAGCAGTTTCTCTGCAGAACACTGGTTTCTTTACTGTGTGTTTTGGTAACCATTGCAGGGTTAATACCTGTGTTTCTCAAGTGTATGGCTGTAACAGCGCAAAGAAAGATGTGTCATTACTGATCCATAAAAGTATTTATGTGCTTACACTGTCACTGAAAGGAGTTGATACCTGTGCAGGTTTAGGAGCTTACATGCCCTGTAGAATAGTAATATTAACCCCAAGTATTAATTTGGGGTATTAACCCCCAATATTAACCCCACCTTCAGTACCTTTAGCCACCCATTCACGTATCTCTGGGAGGAGGGATTGACAGATCTCTCAAGGTCCAAATGTAGAGGAGTTGCTTTTAAGCTGGTCCTACACCAAAGGTTGTTAGCAATCCGGAACCTAATTCTATCGGCTTCTCCCCGGATTCTTTGTTTGTAAACGAGAGCCACAAAATCTGTCCTGCTAACCTCAGGGGATAGGGCAGGAAGGCTTTGGGACTAGCTCATAAGCAGGAGGTGGTGTTAACTTCCCAGTTGTCTCACTACTCCCTTGCAAACAGGGATCCTGGGTGGCCTCCCAGCGTTGGCCTTGTTGGCAGATTTTTCTCACGTAGCTAAGGATTTGGATTAGCGGCAATCTCTGTCTCGGCGCCACAACCGTAGGCAGCTGCACTTAAATTACTTGCAAGTTGCAAGGAGTTTCAGAAGTGCAGTGTGCAGCCTGCAAGAGTCTGTTGCAGCTTTCATCTTACACGGCTCCGTGCTGTATGGAAATAGTCCCGTATTGCATACGTGATCGTAGCAGCGATTGTTAACAAGATAAAGCATGTCCCACTGCTTTCTCCTGTCTCTTTTAACACTGTGGTGTTCTCTTGATTTAGGTGTTCAACAATATTTTGCATAAGTGTGGTTTGCAGTGTGAAGGAGCCTCTGCTGAGCCCCAGAAACTGGAAGAAAAAGTAAATGTGACTCCGGGGAACATGCCCCTCCAGGTAGAACTGTTGCTCCTTGCACTTTACTGTTTGTGGTCCCGCAGGCTGAACAGTCCATGGAGCAGCGAGACCACAGAGGGTCATTCTGTTCCCAAATACTGGTGGCTCATACAGCACATGATTCCATATCATTGTTTCACTGTTTGTCGTGTGACTTGATGATAAAGCCTTCCCACCATGAGTTGGTTGCTTTGCTCTTGTGCATTTCAACCATATCCATTGTATCGTGGGTTCTTTTTAAACCTGGCATCTTTTTCGCTTAACCAGCTTGTAAGTAATGTAACAGAGTATCCGACAGAAGTCTCCAGGTAACCCTGACAGGGATCAGAGTTGGGTTTTTTTTTTCCTTCAGAAATGTTTAACAACAGTGTACTTTAACTGCAGTTAATTAAGAGGGGGTTTTTTGCTGGGTGCTATACAAAGACAGGCCCCATGTCAGTGAGCATAGTCTTCTACAAAATCTTAGACATACATTTTATGTGTGGGAGTTGTTACAGCTACCCTGGAAATGCTTCTCGCACTGAAATGGACCACCGAAATCATCCCTTTAACTCCTGTATTACTGCTGTGCAGTGCTTCCAGCTAGATGGGGAAGAATACTATATGTGGCAGATATGTTGAGGACAAAGCCACTGTCCGAAACAGGATATGCTGAGGATTCTCGTAATTTCACAGAACCTTTAATGGGAGTAAGCAGTTGGGATTGCATGATGGATCTTTAAAGGATAGAAGTTTTAGTAGAGACGTTGTCTCTGCCTCTAGACCCAGTAACATGTAACGTGTTTGATTGATAGCAGACTCTCTTTGTGCAGTCAGGAAAAAGGCTTGGCCTGAACACGGTGTGTCCCTGTTAGTGAGTTATACGATGTTCCTAGGAAAACTTGTCTGGCTTTTCTCTCAGTAATTGCTCTTTCTCTCTCAGGAGCTGAAGGATATTGTGCTGTACTTATGCGACACTTGCACGACACTCTGGGCGTTTCTTGATGTCTTCCCATTGGCTTGCCAGACCTTCCAAAAACATGAGTTTTGTTACAGGTACATCTTGGACTGCAGACAGAGCTTGTCTTGGCAAAGTAAAAATACTGAATGTGCTGCTGTGTCCTGTCCCAGTCCCTTCATCGTTGAAAGAGTAGACAGATTAAATGCGATAGAGACGGCTAGGTTCACACTGACAGAAAAGTAAATAAATGAACGTAGGGACGTCTAGAGTTTGTCTGTTATACGTTCACCTTTGTCATTATCTGTGAGCGATCCTAGAGCCAGGCAACCATGACAGTTTCAAAACCCAGCTAAACAGTACTCGGTGTGCTTTGGAAAGGGTGGAGAGGGATGAGCAGAAAAGAGTTGTGGACAAAAAGGGCTTCCTGCTGTAGGACCCGAAGCAAGGGAAGTAGAAAGTATTTCAGAGTCCATCAGGGTCTGAAAATAAACGTTTTTGTTTGGTGTTCTGCTTAAATTTTATGTTAAGCATATTATTGAGGTTTGGCAAAAGCTGAGTGCCTGGGAGAGGATGACAAGCCAGCACTATCACAGCTGGGCTGACTGCTAATTCCCTGTCCAACTCTGGACCACAGTGGCGATGAGTCAGGACGGTCTCAAGGACCAGACAGCAGAGAGTGTTCCCACAGAGGCTGCAAGTCCCTGAGTGGCACTTACCCGGCTTGCTCCAGGCATTTTAAGCCCCCAGATCGTCTTGTAGAGTCTTGCTGTAACAGCCTTTGTTTAGGACCAAGCGAAGTGTTAACTTATTGTCCTTATTTCCCCTGTTCTGTTTGCTTGTTAGTGTGAACGAACACACATTGGCGTTCTGCTTTTGTTTCCCATCATGTTGCAGACCTCTGAAGTCTGACAGCTGCCAGTGGTTTATGGACCACAGGCTGAGTAGTGCTGCGCTGTGCAGGGTGCGTAGGTTTCTGTCCTCTTTGGATGTTGTCGTCGAGTCGGTTATTGAAAGAAGAGCAGATCGGTGGACTGCTGGTGGCTGTTTGGATTGGCAAGCGGCACTGCTTACATGCTTGGTTACTCGGAGGAGGAAAGCCTTTTGCTTTTAATTCTACTGTTGATGTCAGAGATGTGCTAAAATAGTCTTGATCTCTGCGCAGTGGGACAACAGCAACGTTTTCATTACTTCTCAATATGGACTAATGACTGGGCCTTTGGAGTGCGGGGAGGGAAAGCTGATTTACGTGTCATCTTTTTGGAACCTCTCTGAGTCTGAATCAATCTGCTGGCACTTGCTAATTTCTCTCGCTGACTAAAAGTATCAACCAGCTTCTGCCACGTTTGCCTCAAGGATACTCATTTAACGTGTTTGGCTCTTAATGTGAGACAGGGGCATAATGTTCCTAATGGAGCCTCTGCTCGTCAGTTCAGCTTGGGTTTTGTGCAAAGTGCTGTAAACCATTATTTGTACCATCTAGCTACTCGGGAAGCGGTACCGGCTGTTATTCTGTGCGGACATTTCTCCACGTCTCTCGGTGCTCTGTCTCTGAAGGAAAGGGTCTGTGTGGGCTGCCTGGCACGTAAAACGGGAAACTGGACCAAACCAACTTTCTTTGCTTCCTCCCTGCCCCGTCCTATTGACAACATCCTCTTAGGCTTTCTGCATATTGGATACCTTCATCTAAATGCCCACCTAGAGCAGAGCTGAATAGCAAGACCAGTAAGACTTTATTGGAAATCATAGCCTGTTTCATAGCCAGGTTTTAGCATGCAGCAAGATAGGGCCATAAGGGTATTGGAGTGGGAGGGAGCGTTTCGGGTTGGACTTGAGCATATCAGCTCTTTGCAGACTGCAGATTTGTGTTTGGGATGTTTCTCGGTTGGGCAGATTGTTCTTCTGTTCAATAGCATGGTACTTTTCAAATGCATTTCTTTGCCTACATCTTCAAAGACACCTTGATGGTTTCCTTAGAGTGCTGCTCTTTCTGTTGCATATTTGCTTGCTTGTGTTTCAGGGAACAAACAACAAAATGGGGTAATGCTAATGAGTGCTGCTAGTGAGGAGAATTTAATGAAATGAACCACTTGATTTGTCTTTTAGCAAATGATTTTTGAAACCTCAGCTGACAGTTATTGTTTTGTTGCCCCTTTCTACAGATTAGCTTCGTTTTATGAATTGGCAATTCCTGAGCTGGAATCTGCAATTAAGAAGAGGCGTTATGAGGATAGCAGGTGAAAATGTCTGCAAAGGCTTGCATTTTCTTTTCAATAAAAGTCTCCCAGGACTTAGTTAAAAATTCACTTCGTGCTGCTTTACCCATCTCCGTGGAGTCTTTCTATCTCTTTTTTTTATGCTGCTTCAAAGAACTCTGAAGAGATGGCTTTTCTAATTCCAAATTTTCCTGGGCAGTGGGGTGACTAATGGTTTCTTTCACTGCTGTCTAAGAAGAAACTTGATGGGAGATGTATTTAAATTGTAACAAAGTGTAAAAGCATGCATGATATCTCTATGTATAGATTGGTCTCGTTTTAAAGCGCAGGCTGTGCTGGTACAGTTGAGATCATGCATCTAGCTGTTGGGACCATTGGTGATTGAGACCAACTTTGTTTAGAGCATGGATTTTTCCTTAATGAGAATGAGATGGCTCTAATCTCTGGTCCTTGCAGCAAGGAAGTGATTCTGCTAATGAAATTCCCCCTCTGGAGGGATAACTCTGGAGTAAAGATGTGTTAAAGATTCAGATTTCTTGTGCTGACACCAACAGTGTGTTCTTTTGCTCTCTCTGAAGTGTTTTTGCTGATTTGTGGAGGAGAATTTCACATTCCAGGAAGAAGATGATAGAAGCTTTTCACATCCTAATAAACCAAGTCTGTCTGCAGCCCATCTTAGAAAGCAGGTATTGGCACTTGGGCTCTGTGGTACTAGCAGTTATTCGATTGCCATTGTGGGGGAGATTGTTTCCTCATTTTCAGATTTACCGGAGGAATTGAACAGACACTGTTATTGGTGTTGGGGTGGTAGCCAAAGACTTTGGCTGAGATCAGAAGTCTGTTGTCCTGCATAGCAGTTTTTTTTAGATGAAGCTATGTGATCCAGAATTGGTGTGGTGAGCTGTGTGTTGACCCCACTAAAGTGGGATAAGGCTGTGGTCCAACAAGCTTTCTAACCTCAGTTTATGGCTAAGTTGTAAATTCTAATGCTGCGTGTAGACATCTTGACTGAGACGCCACAGTGAAAGCAATGCAGCGTTATAGATCACTGAAAACAGTCATTTTAAATCTAGATACTGGTGCCTTTAGCTAGTTCTGCCCCCGCTCCTGTTGTGAAAATTGTTAACCGATAGCTCTGTGAATAGTCTGAAAATGAAGGCAAGTATAACTATCCTTATTTTAAAATAGAGAAATGAAGTGAAATGACCCAAAATCATGCTGCATACTGGGGACAGAGCCAAGAACCTGGATCGTGATTGGAAGGCCAGTGCTGTCTTGGGCTGGTCTCTTTGCCTGTACTTGTTACAGGTTTTGTAGCTTGCTGGTCTCTGTGGCTGCCTTCCTGCTTGAATATTTTCCCTGGTTTGATATCAGGAGAGTTGTCCAAGAAGATGAGGAGGGTCTGTTGGGGTACCTTATGAGAGGCCTGGATTTGCTTCCTTGACTTCCTCTGTGATCTGGACTAAATCACCCAATCTGTCTGTGCTATAAGTCCAATCCTTAAAGGAGCAATAGTAGCCTCGTCTTACCCTTGTTACCTGAGTATTGCCTTTCAGTACCCACCGGAATATTGAAGGTATAAAGGAACCAGAGAGTGTGATGTGTTCAGATTCCACGGTATTAAGGACTATATATACTTCAGTAAAGGACAGCTCCAGACACTCATTGCCAGTTTGATGAGAGCTGAGGCTACTGTGAAAACAATACGTCTGGCTTCTAGGGAAATACCTTTTTCTTAGCGCTGGTCTGCTGCGAGGGCCTTCTGTCTTGCTGTGAAGCTTGATGCATCAGCAGCAATGGGAGGTTTAGGTGTTATAACAGAAAGGTTGCAGTAGGAGTTTGCTTGGCGTATGTTCTTACGTAGGTGAGCACATATTTTCTGGGAGATTCACTGGTATGATCCCAAGACATATAATAAAAGCGCAATTACAAACGCGCTACACACCCTTTTCTGCTTATTGCAAGTCTGAGGCACCAAACTATGATTTGTAAAGTCATAAGGCCTGTAATTCTAACAGTGATACAGCTTTAGATCTAGCTGGCTGAAATGTTTGCTGAAGCCATAAAAGAAACTTGTTTCCATTTGACCCTTTGCTCCTGTGAAAGCCAAAAAGTGGACTGAAATCTATTTTCAAATGGGATTTTCCCTTGATGTATGAACGTGACTAGTTTGGCTAGTGAGGCAGAATGTGGAGATTGTGCAATGCGGTAGGCTTACCACTGAGTTTTTCACTCTGTTGTGCCATTGTTTTCTGCAGCTGTGAGAACATTCAGCCTTTTATTGAGGAATTTCTACAGATCTTCACTTCGGTGCTTCAGGAAAGGAGGTGAGTCTGGCTGAAAGGGACCCACGGGGAGGGTCAGATTGCCTTCCTCTTCCATTCTTTACAACAGAATTGCCTGAGACATTATTGTGAGGCGTTAAGATGCATTTGGGAGTTAGAAATCATTCCAACTAGTTGAGAGAACTGCTGCGAGAGGATTTTAGACTGCAGTACGGACTTTATTGTAAAGGTGAGGGGGATGTTGCACGACGCTGGAGAATGAAAGCCTGGATTAAAGAGAGTGAAGAATAACAAAGTGAAGGATGGCAGTTTAGCCATTAGCTACCTTGACAAGTTAGGCTATTGTTACTAATCTGTGCTTTTCAGCTGGGGTGACCAGACTAGAAAGGCATTAAGTGCTAATGCTGAAGATGCGAAGCGAATTAAGTGGCAGAACTGGGAATTTGATCTTGTCCTCCTGACGATGCTGTCATTCTGATCATGTTCAAGTCATAAACCGTATTTTCTCTGTCATGCAGCACTGGGTTACAGGTCTCAACGTCGTGAGGAGTGTTGCAGCTGGCTCTGGCCTGGGGAGGAGTGTTGCTGCAGTATAATGGGGGCAAAATCAGACATGGCAGCCCCTGCTGGAATTCAGTATTGGGTGAGAGGTTGTACGTGTTCCTACCTGAGCAGTGAGGAAGTCAAAGTGGCATAGCAGGGATGGTAGCGTGTGACAGGTCTGCTGGTAATTCATTCTTGAGTTTGACTGATTAAACTTGCTTCTGCGCTTTTAGGTTTCTCCGTGACTACGATGAGCTGTTTCCTGTTGAGGATGATGTCAGTCTGCTTCAGCAAGCATCCTCCACACTGTATCCTTTGCTGTCACCTTGGGGTTTTGCAGACCCGGCTGCTCTTAGATTCCTTCATGCCAGTGGCATTTCCAGTGTTGCTGCCTCTGGTTAAGCTGCATGACTGGCAGTGAGTGACAGAAAGTTTTCTCTTAAAAAAAAAAAAAAAAAAGGGGGGGGGGGGGGGGGGGTTAATGTGGGGGGGGGGGGTGGGGAGTTAATGTAGGCACAGGCTTGGGAGTCACTGAAAATTGCACAGTGGCTTCCAGGTGAGGTCTGAATATGTGCATCTAGAAATGTCCTTAATGCTGTCCTCTTAGAGATGAGACCAGGACAGCCTATATCCTCCAAGCAGTGGAAAGTGCGTGGGAAGGGGTAGACAGGAAAAAAGCACAAGTCATTAAAGACCCAACACCACCAGCAGCATCTAATGGTGCATCAGCAATAGCGGAGAGCACTGCCGAGGACGTGGAAGAGCTCGGGGCTGCATATGCATCAGAGGATGAGGTGCGTAGGGCTGTGTGGATAGGACTGGGCTCTGCTTTCTCTGTCCTTACTTCACGCGTCTGTGAAGAGAGGATTGGTTTGCTCGGTTTTGGGGATTACCTGAGATTGTCTCATTTCTTACCTTTGCTAGATTTCAGTGCGGCCCCATGTGCCTTGTGAAATGAGAAACAAAGCTACGCCTGAAACCCGGCTTTATCTTTGAGCAAATTGCTTCTAACTCCCACTGGCTTGGGTTTCCTGTGGCTGTGGTTAATTTAAATACTGTGCTTCATCACTGTAGTTCATGTGCATATTTAAATGCACAGCTCATATGTTATTTGAGGGAGGGATTCTCCAGAGTATCCTTGCTGACCTCTTCTTTTGACTTCAGTCTTTGACTTCTTTGTGTTTAAATTCTGATAACCCAGACTGCTCCCTTCCCTTTCTTAGTGTGCGTACCTGCAGTCCCCCAGCTGCTGTCTCTTTCCAGTAATGCCACCAATTCTGTTTGGTACATGTAGTGTGCCGGTGCAGCTGCTGCGCCCGTTGTCAAGGTGTCAGGCGTGGAGCTGGACTCTCTGATCTCTCAAGTGAAAGACCTGCTGCCAGACCTTGGTGAGGGCTTCATCCTGGCCTGCCTGGAAGAGTACGGTTACAACGCGGAGCAAGTGATCAACAACATTCTGGAAGATAAACTGGTGCCATACTTGGATAAGCTGGACCGAACAATGCAAAGGTGTGGGACAGCTTCGGGCACTGCTTTGATGCCTTTTGTTTTTTCGTTTGTGAGTTATCATTTAACATCATTCTTATTGAAGGTTGGACACTTGTAGAGCTCTAAGAAGTTGCACGTGCATTTTCTTGAGGCAGATGGCTGCAGTGAGAGCTTCTCATCGCCATCTGCCACTAGCTTTCTGCTCTCGTTGTGTCCCTGCAGAGGACTGGAACATTCACTCTTCAGCATTTCAGTAGAGCAGATGCTGGGTCGTGTTTTGTGACGGGGGAACAAAAATACTTTTACATTAAACACTCAAATAAGAACCATTAAAACTCCATCGTGGGGACGTGGGCTTAGCCTGGGCTAGGCAATAGAACGTGTTGCCTTCAAAAGTTATTTTGCCGCAGAGGACAGGGTCATAAGTGTTAAAATCCCAGCTGTCCTGCAGGAAAGGGCATCTTCAAAGGAACTAGTTCAGCTGAAATTCAACCTGCGGGGTCAAATACGGTATTTGAAAGGCTGCTGTTTTGCGATTGAAGATAAACCGGAGGGAGATTGGAAATGGCAATTTAGATTCATTTTTATCTACCCCTTGACGAACTTGCCAGGCTTTTGCTTGCTTCTCTGGGTTGTACGTGGGAGGTAGGGTTTATAGCTGGCAGCGGAATTGAGTTGGTTTAGTTTGTCTGCAGCTGCTAGCATGTGTTTGTGCTGCAACAGCAGTTTCTAGCTGAGTGTCAGGATGTGAATGTGCTGTTTGTTCGCATTGCATGGAGGAATGGGCAGACTGTCTGATTGTTGCATTAAAAAAGGAAAGCATCTTTATCAGAAAAATGATGTAAAAAAATCTTAGTTTTGCAACAATCTTCATGCTCTCACAGTCAGATCTGCTGACTTTGGCGCAAAAGATGCGGGGTGGGCTTTTGGAAGGGTTGTTTTTCTCTGCAAAGCCAGCAGTTACAGAAGACAGGGCTGGATTTTTTTCTTCCTGACTTTTGCATCTTGAAACAAAACTGTCAGTTCAATAGCAAATGTAGAATTTTGATCACTGCTGATTTTAGAAGTGAGCACAGCAGCGTTTTCAGATGCCCAGCTGAGCTAACAGCACCAACAAAATGAATGTAAAAATAATGGTCTTTTGACTTATAAGTTGAACAAACGTAAACCTGGAACCCTGAGAGAGAATTAAGAAGGAACCATATGGAGATAAATATCCTGAAATCAACAGCGGCAAATTATTGGAATTTTTTCCAGCATGTAATTCATCATACTTAGTGTTTGGCTTTATTGAGTCACTGTTTTGAGACCAGGCAGTCTGTTGAATATTCCATGCTCCTGTGCAGTTTTACTTACTCTTAAATGAAGAGAAGAATTTTCTTTTTGCTTTCTGTAAGTTGCTTTTTTTTACCCAACAAAGATCAGCTTTGAAAACTGTGCCTTTTGTCTTAGACCAATGCCATGTAGTGGTCGTGCACGTACTATAGCGCATCTGTGAAATGAAGGAATAGCAATCTGTGACCCGGTCAGCCAGCACCACAAAGAGGATCTTGGCATGCTGTGGATGACTTTAAGACTGACAAAGAATAAACCAAGGTCTTAGGAAGGAGAGGACTTGGTCTTCCTCAGTTCACCGTTGTTTTTATTATCTCTATTTTCTTTTCAACAGACAGCTGAAGCCAGACCCTACTCCTCTAGTCACTTCTCGCTATAATGTTTTCCAGAATGATGAGTTTGATGTTTTCAGTAGGGATTCAGTGGATGTTTCTCGGATACAAAAAGGCAAGCGGTGAGTATCGTGCGCCCTTAATTAACCCTGTCTGTCAGGTGGAATAAATACCTGTGAACCTGCAAACTTATTTCTTTTACAAACCTCCTGCAGGCATTTGTTGGCAGGAGGTAAGGCTTATCAAAAATGTTTCCCACCTGCTTCTTCTGCTTCTCTGGGAAAGTAAAATGAAATAGTATGAGGAGGTTGGTTTCAGTTAGTGTTTTTCCTAATTGGCATTCCCCTGTATGCTGCTAGAGTTTGCTCTGCCAAGCTCATTTGTGATGTCGGGCTCTTGCTTCTTGGTCTTAATGTTAAACTTGTACTGAACAACAAACCTTGAAAAGCAACCATCTCTACGAGCCTGGGATTGTGACTCAGAACTGAGAATAAATAATGATTTGGTTTAGATCCAAGTGAAGCTTCAACCTCCATCTACTTCAAAATCTGATAACGCTCAGTGGCTTAGACTACTTGTGTTGTTCCTGCTGCTGTAAGCTTCCTGCAGAAGGGCATTTCCTTTGCCTTCCGCCTAGCTTGGCGTGTTGTGCTGTGCCACGCTCCATGCAAACTTAGGTTAGGGCACTGTCCTGCTGGCTCCCACTGATGTCAACTGTATCTCTATAATACGGTTGATTTGTTTCAGATTCTTTTTATGCACTTTCTCTAACCAGCCAAGTCTGATCTTTATGTTGGTACGTATTTACACAGAACGTAAATAAAAGTCTGGCTGGAGATTGAGCCCCATGACCTTGGGAGCTCCCAGTTAAGGTTTTGGTTGCAAAGCTGCATCAAATGCTCAGGAGAAAAACACTTTTGTCCCAAAGTCCAGTTTCAGCAGCAGTGCTATAGTGCTTATATTGGCTCAGCTAGGCAAGAAAATAATTTTTCTCTCTGGCCAAGACAATGATTCTCGAAGCATCCGTAGCTGAGAATTCACAGGCACAATCTCTCTCCTTTCTCCTCATCGTGTTGCCTTGCTCAGAGTGCAGGCAGGCACCTTGTCAGCAGGAGCCTTGTCCACAGGCGCGCTCGGTTATCTCCCACCTCCCCAAAGTTTTGCACACGTGGGCGGCTGCTGGCAGCGGCCGGACAAGGCCAGAGAGCGCTGCCTGAGTTCAGCACAGCGCATCCAGCGTATGGAATAACCCTGCTGGGAGCTCCCTCTGCAGATCACTTACAGAGCTTTGAAAACCCATCTCTGAGCTGGGCTGTGGGACTCTGCTCTCATGGCATCGCCCTCCGGCTGCTGCCAGGGAGGCTGTGTCTTCTCTCCCATGGTAACATCACTCCTTGAGAAAGCTGTCGTCTCTTCTGCTGTACTGTTACGTGACCTCTTGGGATTATCCTTTTACCGCTGCTGTTCCTGGTGTCTCCTGGCCTCCCTCAGGCTATGTCTTCATTTCAAAACAGTTCTTCTTACACTGAGAACTCTCCCTCTCTGCAGGACTCGGACACATTATTTATGTTTTGAGTGGTTTTTAAAACCTGGAGGGTAATTAGCTGGGATCGGCAATGTACACCCTATGCCTAAAGTTGACCGTATCTAACTAAATTAAAGGATAACCTATAGTACCTTGCTCTCCGGGATTTAACATTCAGAACTCCATAAATATGAAGAGCATGTCCTTTCAGCACTAAAGTGCAACTTCCTCAGTAGTCCTCGTTCCGCAAGCAAGAAACCTGATGCTTTACCCAAGCATCTGGGTAACAGGGTTCTCCTAGCCTAGTTTGAGATCTGCTTTGGATGTGAATTGTATCAATATATCTTTTTTTTTTTTTCCTTTTTCCCCCCCTCCTTCTTAAAATCTCTTGCTCACCAAATTCTGCTTGTGTTTAGAGTGGTGTTGCTGCCTGAGCATGATGTCGCAATAGTGCTTCAAGAGCCAGATCAGGTTGGGTCCCATTGCACTAGCTGCTCTGCTGGTAAGCGTAAGCAGTTTGGGGCAGGGACTGTTAATGTGAAGGAGAAAGCCACGCCAGGATGAGGAGAGAAACAAGCATGAGGAAACGAACACACTGGCATATACGTGATTCTTTGCTGATCCTGAAAAGTGATCTCATCTGCCTCTGCCCGTCCAGCCGTAATTGCTAGCTGAATCTGTCTCTTGAAGTCAGAGCATGTCCTGAACACCACGGGACTAGAGGAGTTCCCACTGTTTTTCCTGGAATTGGTGCCTGAAACGCTTCATTGCAGCTCTTCTGCAGTCATCAGACCAGCTCAACAGGCAACAATTATCAAATGCTCAGTTCAGTCTCATGCCGAATACCAACAGCAGATGTTATCCCAGCCTAGGTATGTGCGAACTAACCACATGCTTTGGAGGGCATTTTGCAGCTAAATGCAGGCATGTAACAGAGTGAGTCACGTCAGAGAGGGGAACCGCATCTATCTGTAAGGTTACTTTGTTCTGAGATTCTTCATGAAAATCAGGCTGCTTAGATCGCTTCCCCACTGCTTGCTCGTATGTCACATAAGTCTACTCTTGAGTCACTGACAGTCTGCCTCGGACGGGTTCTTTCTCTGGTAATATCCAGATGCCAAATAGATCACTGATGCATGTTCCTGCTGGACTTTGAGGGCTGCGAGTTGTTCTGTGAGTACTTGACAGTGGAATCCCTTGCTCCTTTGCTGTAAGCATATACTTGGCTTACGTTATGAAAAATGGGACTTCAGAGTTTATGCTTGTGCAGCTTGAGACACAGCATCTCGGTGGCTGCTTTTTAAAACCTGTGTCAAAATTCTATTTCTTGGTCTTCCCTCCTTTAAAATGACTATAATTTACTTGCCTCCTAAACTTTAAAAAGAAATTGTACGTTCAGTGCTTTGGGATAGGTTCGATCAGAATCACTAGTCTACTCTGTTCTTTTCATCCTTAGTTGTGCTTATTCTAGTCCTTACTTGCTGCGCTGGTAACTTTTTGGCTCTCCCCATCTACATTCCTATTTTGCATCTCACGTTTGTAAGCTGAGGTTCTTGACTACGGGAACGTACACGTCCGTGCAGCAGTTACTCTAATGCAGCCCTGGTCCATGATTTGCAGCTCTGCGTGCTACCGCAGTGAGATGATACTGCAGCATGGTGTTAGAGGGCACTCCGGGCCTTGCAGAGCCATCTCACAGACTGGAGTCTTCGCCCGAACAGCTTGCCATTCAAGATTCATGGGACTCCTTGTGTTATCTGGATCTTGGCCAAATTTCAGCTTGAATATAATTGCATTTGGCCGCCTGTAAAAGCTTCCTTTCTGTCTCAAATGGCAGTGGCGGTCTCCGATTCCTGTTCTTATCCGCTGTGTATTCTTGCTGGGCTTCTGTTTAAAAATGACTTTGTTCCAAGCCAGGAGGGGCTGTTTTTAGTAGCCAGGCAAACAGCCCTGTTATAAATCAGAGGGGAAATAGGTAGGCTTAAGTAGTGCTTGTGGAGTTTGAGATGAGACTTCTGTTGCTTCAGCTTCCGCTTACTAACAGGAAAAAAAGTAACCTATAGAGAAGATCTTTACGCTGCCTTTCTGTGTCTGCCTCTCCGTTTCCGTGCTGTGGAGTGCAGGAGGGAGAAGGACACGACCAGGAGTTTGCTGAATGATAAACGCCTGGTTGCTGAGCAGAAGGAGCGCTACAGCCAGTACAGCGTGATTGTGGAGGAGATTCCTGTGCAGCAGGGAGAAGCTCAGCTCTACAGGGAGGACTACGAGGACGAGTACGATGACACTTACGACGGAAACCAAGTGGGGGCAAATGATGCTGACTCGGATGATGAGCTGATCAGTAGGAGGTAGGTGCTGTGCCTTCAGTGAATGGCAGGATGATGAGAATCGCCAGCTCGAGTTGTCTGGCTGGCACAAACCTGTTCAACGCTGGGTTTTGGCTCTGTTCCTCAATGAGGACGTTCTTGCTTCAAACCACCCCTTTTCCTGCTGCTGCTTTCTCTGTAACATGCAAGGAGGGAGACTTGGGTCTCTCTTCCCCTGTTGGTAGGGAGTGTTGCCGTGGCACGCGCCCAGGACGTTCTCAGGCTTCCACTTTCTGTGTCTGCAGGACTCAGCCGTTGCCTCAACTAACCAACAAATCTAAGAGGGGAATTTGCCATTGTGTTGAAACTTGCACTCAGCAGTGCTTCTGCTTATAGAAAACTATCCTGCAGCGGGGGAAAACGGGCTACCTTGAATAATGAGGATTGAGTGTAGCTGGGCAACGTAAAATGGCTGGTTAGCAAAGGAAACCTTCAAAATTTGGAAAACTGTACAACCGAACTTCTCCTTTCTAATCCCCTCTGACATCTCAGAGTGCTGACACCTGGAATTCAGTCTGTGATGACTGCACAGCACTCTCCACAATGACTTGACAGCTGGAGGCAACTAGCTTTTAGGAAGCAAAGGGTTAATTTGGGATGGGGGTTGTAGAATATTTATTTTAGAAATAAGAGCTAGTGATAGAAAACACGTGTTAAAAGCTGGTTTAACATTTCTGAAAGTGGCTTTTTAAATTCTGATGTGTAATGAAGATGTCACTGTTTCTAACCCCAACCCAAAATGCATCTTTGGGGTTCCTTTGTCCCTTTTGTTGTGGGTTTTTGGTTTTTTTTCCCCTCCTAAAGCATGGTGAGGCTTCAATTTAAATCCTTTTTGTAGTTTGCCTGTAACAGTGTGGCACTCGGGACTTTTCCCCTATTTCAGGTGCTCACTGCTCGTAGAGAGGCAGCCGGAACAATTAGTGAACATTACTGCTGAAAACTGGATCTATAGGTTTGAAGTAACAGGCTTTTTTGGTTTTACATTTATTTCTTTGACAGTGGAATGGTGGATCTGAATTCCAACAGAATTTAAGCACATGCACACATATAGATACATATTAAAGAGCAGCTATAGGCATGTGGTAAATTCTGCCTCCGGTCCTTCGCTGCTCTGCTGTTCAGGGTGATTCATAAAGCTTTGATGGATTTCTCCAAGTATTTCCCCCTGTATGAAGCTGGGGCTCTGTGGATAACCACTGACCAGTCATAGAGGTTTTGGAGCATAGCACTTTCTGAGCATTAATGTTTCTGTCTGAGTTTGAGCTTGAGGTTTGAGGGTTTGTCTTTGTACAATAGATGCTCCCTGACTGGTGAGCTAAAGCCTAGCAAAGTATACCCCTTACTAATGCCTCGTGGCTGTGCCGGGACCCCCTTCTCCCAGAGGAGGCAGTTGTTTCCTTGGAGAAATTCCTTGTGAGGTTTCAGGTTTTTCCTGACCTGCTCCTTTTTTTTAACTATTATTATTTTCAGTAACAACTTCATAGTGAACATTCCCCAGTGAAGAACATGTGTTCGTTAATTGCCCATAGTAAATGTGTCATTAGTTACTGGGTGTCCTTTTTTCCTTCAGAAAAAGAAGCAAGTCCATGAAATTTGTAGATTCTCAATATTTGAAAGATAGGATGCAAACCAAAAAGGATATGCTGTTCAGTGACACGTTTGTGGCTGTACTGTCTTCATTGCTGACTGTTTGTGTCTTAATTCTCAGGCCGTTCACAATTCCTCAGGTCTTGAGACCTAAAGGACAGGAGGAAGGACAGGAGGAAGAGGAAGAGGATGAAGAGGAGGAGGAGGAAGCTGAAAAGGAAAGAACAAAGGTGACATTTAGTTTGTGATTGGAGTTGCATTAAGATTTACCGTGTGTCTTATCCGCTTCACCTGCAGAGTGATGTGGAGCAGATTTCCTCTTTCAGAGAGTGAATCTTTTATCGTGGAGACTGAGCTGCCTTTGAGTGGCTACTTCTGCGGTCTGCTGGGCTGTGAAATGCCCCCCGAGTACAGCTATCCCCTGCTCCCTGGGCTAACCATACTGGAGCAATGACACTTACTCCGTGGAGAGGTTTAATCTCCTTTATTCCATAGACAGATGATGCCGGCAGAACACTTTGAGGGTCACTGATGCTCTGTTGTCATGGATATACTGGAAATAGTGTTGCTGGCAGAGGTAGGATGTGGGAAGAAGTCTCAGTCAGGTTTTCTGCCAGGTTTTGTGTTTAGAGTCACTGACACCAATCCTGCTGGCTCAGCCAAGAAGAGATAATGAACAATGAGTTGACTCTGTTCCGTGGTCCAACAGAATCACCTCCCGCTCTAGCTTTCTGCGTGATGCTGATGAGTTTACTGACCTCTTTCCTTCCTTCTCATGGTAGGACCACTTTGTGCAGGACCCAGCTGTACTGCGGGAGAGAGCTGAAGCCAGGCGGCTGGCTTACCTTGCGAGGAAGGGGTAAGTAAGCATCTCCCTCTGCAGGGTGAAACCGTGGCTCTGCAGTTAGCAGGTGTTTTGCTGCCGACTGCAATTGTTGAGGCTACACCCGTTCCTTGACATTCCTATACATCAAGGTCACTACCGGTGCGGTGGTAACTTCCTCGCCCAACTTTTACTTCACTGCTGGTTGTTCTGTACCGTCAAATGGGTAGGCATGTCCCTTTATCGTAAGCAGCAGAACCCTGGGCAAGATAGGATCTTGGAGAGCACAGCTTCCCGGAGCTTGACCAGCTCCCACAGGGATTTCAGGACAGTTTAACAGCTGGCTTTCGCTGACCGACTCAGTGCGTAGAAGGGGACGGTCATTGTGTGGCTGATGCTGATGCTCAGCTATTGCAGAAGCCCTGCAGAGCTGGGGCGAGCCGAGGCTCAAGGCCTGACGGCTGAACTCCTCACGCCCAGGTGTTTCTGGGGATCGGTCCGTTTTGTCCCCCAAGCGTGCAGTGTGCTTGTTGTGATCTCCTTTTTCTGTGTGCTCCAGGCACAAGCACGACAGCTCGGCTGTTGTTGGGAATGTGAAGGGCCACGGGCAGAACCGGGAGACGGTGCAGGAACGAAGGAGGAAGGAGGCAAACAAAAGCACAAGAGCTAACCATAATCGACGAGTCATGGCTGACAGAAAGCGGAATAAAGGCATGATTCCTTCCTGAAAGACTCGGCGCAGGTGTTGCATCATCCCCAGTCCTCTGCTTAGGAGGAGGCAGTTGTGCTCCGTTCCCTCGGCACTCCCTTTGCTCAGGGGACTGGATGTCGTGGTTCAATACCTGGCACTTCAGCTCGTGCGGAATTGCACGCCCTGTGGGAGGGCTGCCCAGTTCACAGAAAGGAACTGCCCTCCAGGCAGACCCTGACCGC